AAAAATTTAAAAAAAATATATATATATATTATTTTTTTTATATATAAAATTTATATTTATATATTTGTATTGTTTTGTATAGGTAAAATTTTTTAAAAATGTAGTGTTGGGAAGGTGTTCAGCAGAAGTTTGTGGTTACAGGAAAGTGGGTGCGGGAAAGGGGAAGAGGGGGGCGATTGGGGGGTTTGAGGGATGAAAAAAGAGAGTATTTAAGGGGGGGAAAAAATTTTGCAAAATGAGAAGTTTTTACAAAGTGGGAAAAGTGTTTGAAAGGGGGGGGAAAAAGGAATATGGAGAAAAAAGAGAAGTTAAGAGAGGGGGAAGCAAGGGAAAAAAGAGGAAATGAGAGAGTGGGGGGGGATGTTATCAACAAATTTTTTTGAAAATAAAAAAATTTTTTTGGGTGAGTTTAAACAAGTTAAGAAAGCCTGAGAACCAAAGGGAAATTTGTCAGTTAAAAATAGGGGGGGAAAGAGTTTTTAAAATTGGAGGTTAGGGGTTTTTGGGAAAAAAGATGGAGGGAATATTTGGGGGAATTTTTTTAAATGTTGTGAAGATGGGGAAAGGGCTGTGATTTTTTTGTATAGGGAAAAGGGGAAAAAAACATCTTGTGGGGAAGGTGAGGAAGAGCCGTTGTGAGTGGGGGGGGGAAGTTCTTTAGGAAAGTAGGTAAAATGAAAGGGGTTTAAAGGCCGGGATTAAAGGGAAATAAAGTTAGAAATGTTTTAAAAGGCAAGGGGGGGGAATATATTTTTGGGAAAGGGGGTTGGTCCCAATTATTTAAAAAATTATGGAAGAGGGGAAAGGTTTTACCTAGGGATTGGAAAGAGAGCTACATATTCCCTTTTGTTTTTTAAAGGAAAAGGGGAAAAAAAGAGAGTCCCAAAATATTAGGGGGTTTAAGTTGTTGAGTTTTACGGGTTTAAAAGTTTTGGGGTGATTTTAAAATTTGAAAAAAAAAATTAAGATTTTAAGACGGAGAATGGGGGATAGCAAAAGAAAAGGAGGTTTTTGGAAAGGTAGGGGGATGTGTGGACCGGGGTTTTTACATTTGAAAACATAAAAAGTAAACCCAGTTTTTAAAGAAAAGGGGCTAAAGGGGGGTTTGGGGATTTATGGTTTTGGGAAAAAGGGGCGTTTAAAGGGGTTTGGATAGGGGGGGCCCAATGTGGCAAAATGTTGCAAGTGTATGGTGTAGGGGGTTTTGGTTACTAAAACCCAGTAAAGAGTTTTTAGGGAGGATAGTGAGGAAAGTTAAAAGTATGGGGGAAAAGGGGGGAAATTTTTTCCCATTTAAAAGTGGGCCCTTAGACAAGGATTTTGTTGTCCCCGTGGTTGTTAATATATTTATAAAATTGGGGTTTTTGAAAAGAGAAAAAAATTTGCGGGGTCTTAAAAAGGGAGGCGGGGGGTTTAAAAAAGATAAAAAAATTCAACAAAAAGTGGGAGTTGTCAAAAAGCTGCTCTTTGCTGAGGGACACTGTGCTTTGGGGGAATTTGAAGAAAGTTGCAGGGAAAATTGGTGGTTTGAATTTGGGAGGGTTGGCAAAAGAAAAAAAAATTAAAAGGGGGAAATACGGGAAAAAGAGTAAGGTTATGGGCCCCCCCCCCCCCAAAAAGTTTAGGTAAAAAGTTTGGGAATTATCAAAATTGGGGGGGAGGGGGGGGTTATGGAGGGGTGAAGTATTGTTTTTTGGGAGTGGGGGGTCAGCGGATGGGTCTATAAAAGTGAGGTGAATCTTTGAATTGATAAAGGGAAAAAAAGGGGGGAAAGGGGTTTGAAATTGGGGGTCTTTTTGGGAGAAAAAGAACTTTGTCCTTGGGGGCAAAGAGGGGAATGTATGGGGATTTATAGTTTTACCAACGCTTTTTTTGGGTTTTTAAAGCGTGGGTGATAAAATGTTGAAGCGAGGAAAAGGCTGGGGCAGTGGGGATGTCTTTGTCTGAGGGCAATGTGGGGTGTGTAAAAAGGCCGAAAATTGTAGTTTGGAATTTGGGGAGGAGGTGGGGGGGATTCCCAAAAAATTTTGGGTCCAGAGGGCGGGAGGAAGGGGTTGTTGGGGTTTGGTTGGGAAACATTTTGAGAAAAGGGAGCAAAAACCGAATGTTTTAAAAGGAGTTTTATCAGTTGTGGGGAAAGGGAAAGGGGCGGGGGGGGGGGTTTGGGGCCTAGGGGGGGTTGGAGGGAGGGGGTAAAGGAGGTTTTGTGTGCGAGGGGCTTGGCTTCCAGCAGGTTTCCCGTGAGCGTTTTTGTTAGGGGTGAATGGAGACAAATGGTTTTTAAACTTGCGTGCTGTTGGGTGTGAGCAAAAGTAAAAATTTATAAAGGGTTTTCAGGGAAAAGGGGGCCCCGGGGCCCGGGACTTAAAGCCCTGGGTTTGGGGAAAGTACTTTTGCCTGCCTCTGAAGGGGGGTGTTAATGTTGCCGTTAAAAATGTTGTGTAAAGCCCCTTCGGGCAAGCCCGTGATGGAGTAAATGAGGGTTTGAAATTTTTTTCTTTTTCGGGCCCCCCTGCCTTGGGGGGAATCGGCCAGTGTGTAATAAAAAAAAAAATAAATATTTATATATTTATAAATATTATATATGTTTGTGTGTATATATATATATTTATAAAATTATATTTTATATAAAATATTTTATTTTTATATAAATATGTATATATATATATATATATATATATTATATTTATTTTTATATATATTATATATATTTTATTAAATTATTTTATATAATATATTTTATATATATTTATATATAATATGACCCCATATAAAAAAGACAGCTTTAAATTTGGAAGGCTAGAAGATGGAAAAAAACCCATTTTAAAAAGAGGATGGGAAACCCCAAAGCTAGTATTAACTTGCATTTCCAAATTCTTGGGTTTAGTTTTTTTTTGTTTGGTCTGGGATTTTTTTTTTTGTTGTAGAGAGGGCTTTTTTAAGTACTTTTAAATCAGAATATTTTTTTAATTCAAAACCCCCAATGAAATATTTTTTTCAGATTTTGTATTAACCAGTACGGGTGGGGTTATAACCATGGTGAGTGAGCGATAAAACTCCAGGCCCGGCCCCGGGGTTTTCCCCTCACTCACCATGAGTTCTAACACCCCTTGGTTTGTTGTTTGTTTGCAATTTGTGTTATGATTTTAGAGGGCAAAAAATTTTTTATTAAATTGAGGCACTTTTTGCAGCATATGGGGAAATTTTTTTCAGGAAAAAGTTTTTTCCCCCGCAGTGGCTTCATAGTCCATTTCAAAAAGGAAGGCGTTAAGGGGGAGGAGGAGAAGGGGGTTTAAACAGTCCCCTAAACCCGGGTCGATGTGTTCAGTCCCTCAATCTTGTAGAATGTAAGCTAGGGCCCTAGACGGGGGCTTTATTTCTGTAGTGAGGGGCCCTGAAACAGTTTTGGGGCGGGGTCCCTAGTGGTCCATCCCTAGTCGAAGTAGGTCTTCGTCCAAAGGGTTTAACAAGTTTTTGAAAATTCTTTGTAACAAGATCCCTGATGCTGCTGTTTTTGACAAATTGTGTGGGAAAGGTTTGAAAAAAACCCACAAGTTGAAGATTGAGACAATTTTTGCGGGATATTGGGGGAAACTTTATTTTGGAAACCCTTTCGCCCCGCATTGGGGTTCATCAGTCCCCAAAACAAAAAAAGGGAAAGGGTAAAGGGGGGGGAGAATGAGGTAATCAGTCCTCAACCTGGAGTCGAAGTGTTCGTCCATCAAAACTTGTTTTGGGAAAGTACAGCTTTGGGCCGTGAGTGGGCCCCCTTTAGGGAGTGAAAGGGGACGTGAAGCAGTTGGAGGCGGGGTCATTGTTGGGGACCCTCCCCTAGTTTGAAGTAGGGGTTTGTCCCAAAAGGTTTTAAACCCAAATGTTTAAAAATTTTTGTACAAGATCCCATTTATGCTGCTGTGTTGACAGTTTTTTGATGAATGGTTTGAAAAAAAAAACATGTTTAAAAATTTTAGACCTTTGCAGCATAAGGGAATCTTTATTCAAGGAAAAGTTTTTGCCACGCCCCCGGCTTCATCGTCCAATACAAAAAAAGGGGAAAGGGGTAAGGAGAGGAGAAACATGGGATCTTGTTACAAAGAAATTTTTCAACACTTGTTCAAAACCCTTTGGGCCCAAGACCTACCCTTCCGGGTAGTGGATTGGGACCACTATGACCCGCCCCAAAATGCTTCACGTCCCCTCAAAACAGTATTAAGCCACGTCTACGGCCCTTGTGTACATTCTAAAGATTGATGGGTTGAAAACAATCGACTCCAGGTTGAGGGAAATGATTACTCATTCTCCCCCTCTCCTTAGCCTTCCTCCCTTTTTTTTTGGATGATGAAGGGCCCCTGCGTGGCGAAACGTTTCCCCCGGGAAAAAAGATTCCCATATGCTGCATAAGTTTTCTCAATCTTCAAAAATGTTGGTTTTTTTTAAACCCTTATAAAAACCCGAAGGGCACAGCAGGGATCATGGGGGTCTTGGTTTCCCAAGGGAAATTTTTCAAAAATTGTTCAACCTTTTGGGGAAGACCCCAATTTGACTAGTGGTGGTACCATATGACCCCCCCTCCAAAGCTTCACGTTTACCTCATAAAAGTTTTTATAAGGGAAAGTTTTACGGCCTATTTTGTAAATTTACAAAATTGATGGGGCCCGGGAAACAATCGACTCCCGGTTTTTGGGGGTGATTAACCTTTTTTCTTCCCCCTCTCCTTACGCCTTCCTCTTTTTATTTGGACTGGGGAAAACCACTGCGGGGAAACGTTTCCTGAATAAAGATTCCCATAAGCTGCAAAAGTGTTTTCAATCTTCAACATGTCGGTTTTTCAAAACCCTTCATCACAATATTGTTTTTTAAAAAATATAGAACAGTCTCATTTTGAAAAAGCATTTCTTTATGAAGTAAAAAAACAAAAAAAAATTAAAATCATTGTGATTAAATTTTTTCCAGTTGCCGATAGTTTGTTGTTTTTCATAAGGTTCATGACCCTTTTTCAGGGGCCCTGGTAAACAGAAGAAAAAACCAGTTGAAATGCCAACCATCAAGGTGGTTTTCTTTGCTGGGTTTTTGTACAATACTGTGAAATTTTTTTAATTTTCAATTTATGTTGGCATGATTTTTGCCCTTAATCCTTTCATTGTTCCCTTTCATAGGTTTTGCAAATTTTTGATGTTTACAATTCTCGTTTTAGATCATTTTTTTTTAAGTACAGCTCCATCAGATATGCTAAAGAAATGGTCAAATTTTGACTGGTTTATGAAAAAAAATTTTTTTTTTGGGGAGGGGGAAATTTTGCACAGTGTTTAAAGAAATTTAAAAGGAGGGAGGTGTAGGAAGGAGAGGCCTGGTGGGCATGAAATTAAAGAACAGAAAGGAAAAAAGTGCCCCTAGTAAATTTGGGAAAGTCTAGTGTTTATTTTAGTCTCTTGTTTTTTTAAAATGGGGAAATTTTTTAAAAATTTTTTTAAAATTGGTTTTGAAAATTTCCAACTACTTTTGCAAATTTTTTTGGGGGTTCTGATAATTAAAACTTTTTCTTGTGCTCAGTTTAAGAACGAAAAAAAATTAAATTACCAAAAATTTGCTAAGAAATTTTGGGTTTAAACCCTTCAGGTCCAGAGGGCCCAAAATTTTAAAGTTTCACCCGGGGTCCAAAAATTTTCAATAAAAAAAATTTTTTTTTTCCCTTTTTTGAAATGGTAGAGGGAAACTTTTTCTTTAAGGTAATAAAAACAAAAAAATTCATTAGTTACGTTTTGAGGCTTTACAAAAGGGAAATTTTTTTTTGATTTTTATTCACTAATGAATTTTTATTCAAAAAAAAAAAAAATAGAAGGTTTACCCGTTAGGCCCAAAATTGTTTAATTGTTAAAAAACATCTACATTTGTAATTTTTATTTAGACCCACAGTGGCATGTATTAGGTGTTGAGGTCGTTTGTTTGCTCTTTAAAAAATCGAAAAAAAAATTTAACATTTTTGCTACTTTGAGCTCAGGGTTTTAAGCCCTTTTCCCTTTCTTTAAAAACCAATCAAAATCTCTTAGTTTTTGTAATATATCTTCCATTCTATCAAAAGGACAAGAAAAACGCAAATTTAAAATAAAAAAAATTTTACGAAAAAACAAAGCAAATTCGCGTTTTTAAACGAAAAATTTACGGTCTCATTTTTTTTCTTCTTTTTACAGGGTTGTGTGCTGCAGGATTTTTTTTATGTGGTGCACCATTTCACAAAAATTTTATTCTCTCATATCTTGGCCCCAAAATTTTCCCCTCAAGCTTTTCGAGTGAGCTGGCCATGGGGGTTTTATTACGGCAAGGACCCTGAAAAGGGGTTAAAATTTTGAAAGTAAAATTTGGGTTTAAAAAAAGGATAAAAAAGTGGGGCAAAATTGTCGATGTGTTTTTTTTCTCCCAAAAACAACCCAATTTGCCCCTGTGTAATTTTTGCAAGTTTTCTTTTAAAATTTCATATTTTTTGTGTCATTACTTCAGGGAAAAAAATTTACTCCTTTAAAAAAAGTTTTTTTTCTTAAACCCCAACCCTTGTTTTTATCATGAATTTGAGCAAACCAGAAAAGTCTTAAAAGACGTGCTTCTGCATAAAAAACTTGGAATAAGGTTTTTCATATAAATGTTTGGGGTGTTATTTCTCAAAATTTTTTTTTTTTTCATTGTCCCCCCCAAATTTCCCCTAAACCCCAAAATTGGGGTTCAGTTAAACCCTACCTCAGATTATGTCATCTCTCTTTTTTCCCCTCTTCAGTTTGTTTTGGTTTTGGTTTTACAGGAATGTATCAGGGTTTCTGTTTTTGCATTGTCTTTAGTATTTTGGAAAAATTTAGTCATTTTTATTAAACTTTAAGATTGTTGACTCTCCTTTTTTCATATTATCTTGGGGAAGAGTAGTGAATTTTTTTCTCCCGGTAGCCCGGTGGACAGTACTTTTCTTGGAAAGGGCTTTGAGCTCATTTTTGTTATTGGCCCAAAGGGTCATTTTCCAAGGTTTTGATGGTTTTAAACTTAAGGGGAAAAAGAAAAAGGAATTTATGCCATAAGGTTATAAAAAAAACTCCCTTTTCAGGGGATGGGTACTTGATATTTTATGTATTTTTTTTTTTATTTTTTGAATGTTTGGGCCCCAAAATTGGGCCCCCGTAATTATGAATTATTATGCTTTTTAACCTTGTAAAAACAATGTAGATGGTATTTCTCTTTTGGGTTTTTTGGAAAGGGGACAGCATGTTGTCGCCAAACCACAGCAGCTTCCTCCCGATTTCCCGCCTCCCCCAAAAATTTTTTGGGCAAGTGATTTATCTAAATTACCTTCTAGATACAGTTTTTACCCTGTCACACTGCAAAAATGGGAAATAGCAAAGATCCCCATGCCTTATTTATACTGCATTTTTTTTTTTTATTTAATCAGCTGATTTTCACCAACACCCGTAATCAAAAAAAAAAACTTGATTGGTGTATTTTAAATTTTAGTGAAAGAGGTATCAGCCCCCAGCTAGGGGGCCCCCAAACAAGAATTGGGCTTTGGGGGCAATAAATTTGGGATAGCCAGGGTATTGCCTTTCTTTATTTTAAAAAAATACGTGGAAAAACCCTTTGGTTTATGCCAGTCCCTACTCAAACAAAAACTCAAACAACCCACCCAAAAAAATACAAAAATGCCCAGAAAATTTTCTGGGAAACTATTTTATTTTCTTTGCTTTTTTTTGGGGTTTTTTTGTTTTTTCAGTGGACCCCCCCCCTTAAAGAACACATCCCCCAAATTTCATTAAAATTTCCCCCATACGAAAATTTTGGAAAGCCAAAAAATTTTTTCCTCGCCTCAAGATTTAAAAGAACTCGCCTTCGTTGGGTTTTTCCCGGGGCGCGCCCCCCTGTGTGGCCCCAGCGCCAAATGTTTATGAACCCGCCAGTTTTGCAAATTGCATCTACCCCCAAAACATTCGGTTTCTTTTTACTTTTTTCCCGTGTTTTTGTGCTTGTAAAAATGCAAAATAAAATCCCATTGGGGCCCCAAAAAAACTTTAGTGCCATCCTGTGGTAAAAAAGGGCCCCAAGAAAATTTGTATGGAAATTTAAAAAAGAGAATTTAAAGGGAAAAGTCGTGCAAAAGTGGGGGGTTTAATGCAAACCCTTTTCAGATGAAAATTTTCCCCCGACACAGTACTGCAAGCCCTGTTTTGGGAACCTTTTTACAATGACAATGTTATGGCCCCTTTTAGGGAAAGTTTTAAAGGATCGGGGGGTACAAGCTCTATGGCAGTTTGGGCGTGCGACAGGGGGTCCAGTGATCTTTAAGTGGTCCCCAGTGGCATTTTAAAGAAGAAGGGAAGTAAACCCAGAAAAGGACTTGCTACCTCAAAATCTAATGGAAGGGGATTCCCCTTCTAAAAAAAAAAAAAAAAAAAAAAAAAATTTCTTCCACCCCTCTCCCCCCCCTTTCCCCTTCCCCTCCAAAAAAACACCGATCTTCAATTTTAAAAGGGAAGTGTCATCGTTTTTATTCTTAGTAGAGTTGTTTAAATTTTGCATGTCTTTTTCAGTTTTGTGCTTTTATTAAAATTTTTTATTTCATGTGGTAAAAAAAAAAATTTTTTCATAATTTGGGGGGGTCAGGAAAGATTAATTTGATTTCCATTTTTTTTTTATGGAGAAAATTAATTCAGCTAACGATTTAAATTTTGGGGAACGATGAGCTCTCAAAGGGAAAGGATTAATATGTAAGGGGGGGTTTTCCCCTGTATTTGTATAAAAAAGTAAACCCTATTGGTAGTTTGGTTTGGGAGACAGCAAACCCTTCGGGAGGGGATACCCTCCTACCGGGTTTGTGTAAAAAGAAAGCCTGCATTTGTTTTTTTATGATGGTAGGATTTTGGTGTCTTTTTTCTGTTCGTTAAAAAATGCAAGAAATTTTAGGTAAGTCTTGTAAATTCTATTACATTAGGTCCCCCTACAACATTACATCAATATATATACACACCCCTCTGGGTTTTTTTATTTTTTTTTTTTTGCTTTTTGTTCTTGTTTATTTCCCCCTTATCTCCATGGGGAAAATGGAAAAAGAATTTTTCCTCCGTAAAACCATGCGTTTCTTGTAAAAGGCGGGCAAAATGCCCGGAGCAAGGGCTAGTAACCCCCTTTTCCCTTTTAAAAAAATTTCTAAATTTAAAAAAAAAAAAAACTTTCATTTTTCTTTTTGGGCCCCCTGCCTTTGGTTTTGGGGGGCCAATTTGTTGGAAAAAAAAAAAAAAAAGTGCCAAAAAATTTTAGGTTTTGTCTTGCTATTCTTTCTTTTAAATTAGGGCCACTACACATACATGTACACGTTTTTGTTTTATGTACACTCTCATCCGAGTTTTCTTTGGATTTTATCTTAATAGTTCTTGTTCTTAGTTTTTTTTCATTTCATATCCATGGGGGGAAGTTGGAAAAAAAGAATCTTTCCCCCGTAAAACCCTGGTTGTTTTACAAAATCGAAAAAAAAGCCCCGGGAAAAATGGGTAAATTAAAACCCCTTTTCCCCTTAGCTTTTCTAAAAAAAAAAAAAAGAAAAAAACCGTTTTAAAAAGGGGGTGTTTGAATGTGTGTGGATGTTGTGCGAAAAAATAAAAAAAAGATGATTTTTGGATGTTATGAATGAGAAGAAGCCCGGGGTGTCATGCGTTTTAAATGGGAAAAAAAGCTGAAAGGGGGGAGGGGGGAGTTTTTTAGTGGGGGGATAAATAAAGGGGGGTTTTGCAAGGGTTTTAAAAAAGAGTTTGGCTAAAGGAGGGAGCAATAATGTTGAAGGAAAAAGTTATGGAGGAAAAGAGGGGAAAATAAATGTAAAATTCCAAAGGGTTTTTTTTGGGGGGTGTTAAAAAAAAGGGTTGGATGTGAAAAGTGGGTTATTGTAAGTGTTTATGACCTTTGGGGAAAAGAGAGGTGTTTTTGAGGAGAAAGAGAAGGGGTTTTGGGGGAAAAGTTGGTTGGGGTGTGGGGAAGTTTTTTGGG